CCCCCCGCTGCCCTGTGTTGTTTTGCCTGCGACCAGCCTTGAACACCTAAAGTGTTCTCAAAAGTTTTCCCTTCTCTTTTTATTTTTTTGGCACTTGTTGGCATGAGGATGTTGCATGCAGTCGAGGCAACTTTATTTATTTGTTGGCTTTTTTTCGTTTTGCAAACTTTGTTCTCCCATAAGCTAAGGTTTCATTGTGCCTCATGTTGTCAAATTGATTTTTTTTTTTGTTGAAAATTTCCCCCATTTGTTTCTCTGTTGTATGGACATTTCCCGCTCAAGGGCCCAGTTGATGAACTTTTTGTTTGTTCGGCTGTAATCTACTACAATGTTGAGGTGTCCATATTCCTTGCATGCTTTGTTCGGTTCAATGCCAAGCCACGGGGACGTCCGGACCACAGATGTTCGGCCCAGATGTCTGTGGTCTCGTTCCTACGTATTTCGGGACGGCCGGAAATTATTCCGTCGAGACTTGGGACCGTCCACCCTATCGCTGGTTCAGGGTGTGCAGCCCTGGGTCTCCTGGGACATTTTGGGAAAAAAAAAAAAAAAAAAAGAAAAACAGCCTTGGCACTTTTGGTATGATGATCAGATCTCATCATGAAATGTTCAGATCAGGTCTGATCAGATCTGATTATCTGATCTGATCATAATACCGGATGATCTGATCTGATCTGATCTGATCAGATCACCATCCAAGGATCACAAATCAATTGTTCAGGTCTGATCAGATCATCAGATCTGATCATTTGATACTATCAGATCTGATCATTTGATACTATCAGATCTGATCATTTGATACTATCAGCTCTGATCATTTGATACTATCAGATCTCAACATGTGATCAGATCAGATCTCATCCTTTGATCAGTCAGATCCAAGTATCACCTCTCTCTCTCTTTCTTGTGGGGAAGAGGAGGAGGAGGAGATTCGACGTTGGCAGAAGACGAGGATTAGGTGGCGAGGAGAAAGGGTGAGGAAGAGGACGATGACAAAGAGGGGAGGAGGAAGTTGAGGAGGACAAAGAAGACGAGGGAATGCATGAGGAGGAAGAACTGAAGAAAGAGGAGGGAGAAGAAAATGAGGAAGAGAGGAAGAGGAGGGAAAAGGGGAGATGGAGGAATAGGAGGAGGGAGGTGATGAAGAACGTGGGGTACTTTCTTACCTGGTTGATTGCAGGGGGGGTCTGGATGTAACGACAACAGCACGTTGTATTCGAAGTGCTTGCAATGAGGCGCATAAATGCCCCCCACCCTCGCCCGCTGCCCGCCCACGGAGTTGAAAATCCTGAACCCATAAGGGTCGTCCTGTCATGGAGAGCAACATCTGCAATCAGGCCTTTTTTTTTCCTTCAAAATCTGAGGCTGCCGGGTCTCAAGGTGTGGGCCAGGCCTCCAGACCCTCAACCACGCACCAAGGGGCCCAGCATGTGAAAACCGAGCCTGGTGCAATTTCGAGCTGGGCTCAGATCGAAGCTCTGGAAGGACACCCATCTGGGATATCTGTATGGACAATCCAGATGGCCGAAAGTGACCTAAATGTCCACACGGGTAGCATGGTTTCAATGTTTTGCTCAAATTATTATCTATTCCGTTTGGAGGCGGCACAAACATCACTCCCAAGAATTCTCTTCTTTGTTTCTGCAATTGCAACCACCTATCATGTGATGAATAACATCTGAGATTCTCAATCTTACATTCAAAACCAATGTGTACGTTCCTGTCTTTGTGTGAACATTGCTTTCATGAGAAATGGTAGTTTGGATTATTTCTAAATTGTGGTCAAAGTTGATCAAGGCCCATTCATGGCTTTTTGCCATATCACCAGTGCCTAATTGGACCGAATTGCAACGAGGTTTTTGAACGTGACCTTGCAAAAAAGAATCCTTTGCTGAGCTTCTCTCTCTGTGTCTTCTGGTGCAGTGGCAGAATGATGCTCCCATTCTGGAGTTGTTTAACGAGGGGTTAAAGTTGCAATTGCTAGTGAATGATAAGGAGATAAGAGCAAGTTTGAAGACGAAGTTCGGTGGAGACTACCATAATATTGACAAGGTTTGTTGCCTCTTACTTTTCAGTGGTCTGCTGTATAACCTGTGGGGCAAGGCTTTTTTTTTTTGTCTTTTGAATTTGGACCGTTTCTCGATTTATGTGTGTCAACCTTGCACAGGGGGGCTGTGCTAATATTCTCTGTATTGTTCCAATTTTAACGAATGGCCTGAAGGATGGAGTGAGGTATTTCATTTCCACCAGGTTCAAGAAATTCGACATTTAAATAGATACCTTCAGGCTGCAGTGATGCAACGTCAATTGCAGAGTGTTTGAACTTTGAAGTAGCACACTTTTATTACGTACTTTCTATGGGAGCTATGTTCGCTCTATTTGCAGGATTCTCCTATTGGATAGGCGAAATCTCTGGACTTCAATATCCAGCAACATTAGGTCAAAACCGTCAACTTCATTTTTGGATTACTTTCTTTGGCGTGAATTTGACTTTCTTCCCATGCATTTCTTAGTTCTTATCGATCGATAATGCCCATCAATTCACTCAATTTAATTGAAAGGATTCACACGCTGCCAAAGTACGGCCCCGGTCCCGTGTCCCATTTTCTTTTGTACCTAAGGGCCGAAGTAGACCTTTCCAGTAGGTACTATACAAATTGAAATAGAGAGATAATACTCAAAGAGAGAGAATACGCAAAAGCAATGTAGTTGAGGTTTTAGTATCACAGAATAACCACATCGTGAGTGCACGAGACAAGTTCGTGTAACAGACCTTCTACCTCAATCTGCTCAGTCTGCTTCGAAGCGTCCTGCTTCATACTCTTAAATACATCATCCCGACTCAACTACTTCGTGGAAAACTCACGTTTCCTTGAGTCGAGCATAAGGAAAAATAAGGTTGCTGGATATTGACCGGTAGGAACTGTAGAGGGTACCTAGAACACAATAGGTAAGTAGTCGCCACATGTCCAGTCCTGGTCCCGTTGCAGCTCAGTCCCAGAGAAAGGCCACGACAGACCAAATCTTTGTCTGCTGTGGCAGGGCCTGGCGGAAGAGTCTGGAATCACGTGGGACGCAGAGGCACAGGCAGAAAAGGAAGGCCAACCTCAGGGGCCTCCTCTTCTTTGAGTGCTGCTGTGTTGCTGGGCACGAAGATCTTGGAGTGGAAAAAGACTCCCATCCCCTTCTATTCTTGGGGGGCATCAGTCCGTTTGCTTATCACTTGCAAGCAAAGTTTTTTGAAACAAGCAGTGGGGGGGATAAGACAGAAAAGATAGTCAGCCTACCCTTGTGGCTCGAGCCACCTATGCAATGGGGGGTTGCTCCTGCACCACCCACTCCCACCCTTTGGCCTTTCCTTAGGGATTGTCCTGCAAGTCGGGAAGCTTTATAGCAGCACCCAGGCACACTGCAGGACAATCCCTAAGGGGTCGAGGCACGGCGTTTTTTTTTTGGGGGGGGGGGCGGTTCTAGCAGCCCCTCGGGCCGCCTGTTACTTGCACCTTCTCACCATGTCTACCTGAGCCCAGCATTTCCGCTGCCTCCTAACCCCATGTCATCTGTATCCCTGAACCCTTCTGTCCTTGATATCCTACCTCTCCCACCATCAGGTTTTTCTTGGCTTTAAACCTGCCTTCCTATCCCTAAACCTTAATCCTATCTACCTATATTTGCACCAAAAGTGGCCGAAGAAGGCCGGAAAAGGTCCACACTACCTTGGGTCCTGCACTATACATGTCTGCACGATTGCTGTGTTCTAACCCCAGCATTTTCTTTACCCCTTTTACCCTCTTACCCCCCTCTATAGGTGAACACTCCCCCTCTTGCCCCGCTCTATAATACAACTATTTTTTGTTTTTCTTCCAGAACACTTCTTTTGTTTTATTTCCACAAACAGTGACCCGTCGGCATTTGGTTTAATCCAAGAGCACCTGCAATAACACCGTTGGTAGTTCGTTGGTAATTCAATTGAGGTAGTTGAGCTGTTGCTGCTGGCTTGTTCAACTGTGCAAAAGGCTGGGGGTAATGTGATGACCTGACCAAACATGGACTGAGACACACAGCTGATTTCTGAGTTTTGCCCATGGACTGAATGCCTTGCTGAGTTTCCCGCTTGCTACTAAGTTCTCTAAGTCTGTGTGTGTGCATGCTTGCTGGTCTGCATGTCTGTCTGAGTGCTTGATGGCTTGAGTGTGTGTGTGACCCGTTCGTTCGTTGGGCCCTCAGGGCCGGTACTTACCTGTGGCCGTGACATTGAGGATTGCAGCGGGGAAAACACTTAGTGGCGGGGGAAGAGGCCCGGAACACTTGAAGCAGGGGGGAAACACTCAAGTAGCAGGTAGGCCGGTACCACACCCTGAAGAGGTAGATGCGCCATGTACTCGAGGCCAAGCAGAAGAAGACAAAAGTACCATTTTTATAGGCCCAGTAGTTTTAGGCTAGGACTGGCGGGTACCAGTCCAACCAGTCTGAGTCTAGGCCCTCTAGGGCCTGTACGGGCAATATCAGAGTCTGCAATGGTGTTTCCCTCCGAAAGGGAGGAGGTAGCGGTCGCTTGGAAAGCCGAACAGCCTGGAAGTCACCGCCCAAGAGGCAAGCAGGACGCTATATCTCCAGGCCGGGTGAAGAGCCCAGCCTCATTGTCGGTGTGCAAGTTTAGCGACACACTGGTTGGAGCGCAGGTTGGAGCAGCGCTAGCATTCAGCAGTGCTGCTGGGGAAGGAGCAAGGACACGAAGGAGGAAGAAGGCCAGGGCTAGGGAGGAGCGCCAGAGGTACTTACCTGGCTATGGTGGCAGCCATCTTCATCACCTTTGTGGGCGCTGCAGCAGGAAGGCCCCAGCTGGGGGTAGAGCTACACCAAGAAGCTTCAAGGCAGAGCTAGGCATGGCGGCCTGAGCTAGAGCAGCCATAGCTGCTTTGCGTTGTCCTTTGGACATCAGGGCCAGGCCCCAGTAGTCCACCATAACCTCGGCCTATGAGAGTGAAGAGTGAGGGAGGCGGCCATGGCTATGGGGGACCTCAAGTGATACATGCATTAGAAGAGGGATTCGGACTTTGATTCTGGTTCAGCCATTCAACATTGTATTATTATTTCTTGTGTGGATACGAGAGGAGGAGATAAGGAGGAGGAGAGTGATTGGCAAAGAAGAAGAGTTTTCTCATTTGTCTATGCTGGTGTACATCATCTTCTTCTTCTTTCTTTATTCTTCTTCTTCGCCTAACTGTCTTTCTCCTCTCAAGTTCATTCATTTCTTTTTGCAAGTGCACGGCATTGTACTATCTGATGAATGTGTATCTCGAAATTGGCCAGGATCATAACATTGGTATCAGAGCGGATTCTACTTGCTGGTGAGAGTTGACTTTGCTGCCCTAACCCTAACCTAAGTGGTTGACAGCAACACTTAGGGTTAGGGTTGGATGTAAGGGAGGAGGGGCAGCGTGGCTAAGGGAAGCTGCCCCCACCTGGTTAGGTCGTGCGGGGTCGACACTGAACCTAACCAGGTTGCTTGAGAGAGAGATCGGGGTGGCGAGACATTTCGTGGAGACTTCATGCGGCAACTTGAGAGAGGCGACAGTGAGAGGCACTCACACCTGGAATCTGACTAAAGGAAGACCCTTGGCAACTTGAGGGTTGCGCTCAAGTAGGCGAACTTGAGGGACAGTGGCCATTCAGCATCTACAGACTGCAAGTTGGTACTTTGTTCTTCAGCATCGGCGGGGGACCCGGCGTTGCACTTTGGTGTTGGAGTCAGAACCTCCTAGGAGATAGGACACTAGTGTAGAGGTAGCGTTAAAGGGGTCAGGAGGATCATATGAGAGGGAGGTGAGTTCTATTCATCTTGAAGCTTAGGCTACTCAGGTAAGTGTTGTGCACCTATGGGATGCCATGTATGTGAGCATGGTATTGATTGTCCTGTTGGGGTTATAGCGGGTTTCTTTCCTACTCCTTTGTGGTCTTGATTGTGTGATTGAATGTGTGTGAACTACTTACTCACGTGATGGATGGAGAAATGAAGCATCTTGATTTGAATGTCGAGTCTTTCTACAATGCTTTGTCTTTTCATCTCTGAACGGCTGTAGTCTGTAGGTTCTGCTAGAAGTTGAAATTCGGTTTTCAGTATGGTAGAGGCAGAAACTTAGTCCAAGTGGGACTCCTCTTGGTCGGGAGTCAGTCACGACCTACGTGGAACCCTTGGGGCCCCAGTGGGACCGAGCCCAAACAAGAATCTGTTAGACATTGGTCCATGCTCTTCCTAGCTGGGATCCGGAGTTTATTCTTGTTGGTTAGGGCACCCGCTGCCGAGGGGATCTCGGCTGAGATGCTTTGATCGCACCATTCGTGGCTTGACTCGCGCCTTATACACCACTCAATTCTCCATTGTTGCATGTAGTCACTCATTGTCTGATTTGTTGTACGGTCACGGAGCTGGTCAGACCGAACTAGAGAGGACCTCGTATGCAGTCCGATCAGACTGAGTCGCTGGATCAGACCTCTCATGTGAATCTGTTTTTTTTTTTCTTTTGTTCTTTGCTGCTCTCTAGTCTAAATGTAATGTCGCTCCGGCCAGGAGTTCTACCTTCTCTTCTTTGAGCTTTTTCAGTTTGTTTCTTGTCCTGAGTTCATATTTTGATGTCCGTAGAGACTCGTAGACAAAAGGAAGAAAGAGAGAGAAGAGAGAGTGAGAGCACCCATCTTGAGGGACTTACGGAAATGGGCGCTACAAAGGCTTTTGTGGCCTGGCCCAACTGGATGCAGCCATAGAGGAGGATAAACTATTGTTCCAAACTCTCTACGAAAAGGCACTGCTGGCAAGGGAAGAGAAAGTCGAGGAGGAAAAGCGGAAAACCGTTGTTGTAGACCATGAGGTTGTCCTCAAAACAGTTCCCTGATTGCCTGACACTGAGGTCAAGAAGGAGCTAGTCACATATGTGCATGCTCTCATATACTGTCACCTACTAAGTGACGTCTGTGTTCAGATCACGAAACTTTGTGCCGAGATAAGTGAACTGCGGGCAGAGATGGCAGAAATGGCCAAGGAGCACAACGAT